TCGGACCCGTTGGATATTATGCTGCTATAGCACGGAAATCCAACCTCCATTTAAGAATTGTGCTATATATCCTGACTTCATACGTTTCGGTACAGAGGGGAAAGGTCCAGATGCCTGAGAGACTGAGGGATGACAAACGGTTTGCGGTGCCGAACACCAAATTCTGGACCTGTGAAGTTAAAGTCATCATGGCTGTGTCATCCGTTGGCATTAAGTATCGTCTGCCGGGTTGTATTCACTGTGGGCTTACTGACCATGATGCAGCATGGACCTTTGTTGCCTCGTCAAGCTCAGATCGTCAGAGCTATAACAAGCTGGAATATAGGGCCAAGCGACGGAGGATGGACGTGGACAGGCCCTCAGGTGGCAAGACTAGGGCAGAGCTTGAGAGCGAGCACGGCACAAACTGGGAAGTCGCTATGACGCGATGCTACCAGTTCTTTCTTGACCGTGAAGCAATCTCTGAGGAGTATGTTCCCTTCTTCACAAGGAATCAAGAAGCCCGCAGAGACATCTTTGACACCGGGGTTCATTCGGAGCAGTACCTCGAGGTGTCTCCACGAGCCTCCAACAAGCAGACGTGGCGCGACAGTGCTGTTCGGCATTTCAAGCAAGTGCATGAGACCGAACGGCATCCCATTCACAGGGAAGTCACGTGGGAGAGCTGGCGTGCCATGCTGAACCCTCAGGTTGATTGGGCTGCTACTGTGCATATAGCGTCTCCAAACAGATTGATTTGGCTTGATACTGTCGAGGGAATGCAGACATGGTATCTCCAAGATGATTTCCTGGGTAGTCTCTGGCATTTCCTGAAGCACTTCAGGATGCTACGACCTGTCTTTGCCATAGTCTTCACGGTCACCGCTGAGTGTCACGAAGTTCTGCTCACGTCTTTGCAAACTATGCATCTTATTCTATTGGAGGAATTTCACCTTGTACTTACAGTTGAGATCGTCAGTCAGCTTTGGGATCGTAAGATCATGAACTGTAGCCAGTAGTGCTGCAGCTTGGCGCGATTCTGCTGCTGCCTGCCACCTTCCCCGGCCGACTTCACAAGCCCGGATGCAAAAAGGGTTTAGGGTTTAAGGGTTTAAGGGTTTAAGGGTTTAAGGGTTTAAGGGTTTAGGGTTTAGGGAGGAGTTTTGGTGGGGGGCCCAAAACCTTACCTCTGAAGGAAAGGATCCCTGCAAGGGGCTGTAGGAGCATTATAGAGGGTTTTTTTGATTTAGGGGATAAAATTTCGGGGTCAGTGCAGAAGTACAACAGTTAGCAATATCATTCCTTAGGGCTCCCTATTGTATTTGTAGTATGACATGCCCCCCCAAAACCCAATTCCATTTACTGTGGCCCCAAAAATAGAACCCTCCGTGTAACCCTCATAGGAACCCCCTTGCCGGATCCCTTTAAAGGAAAGACTAATGCCCCTAGATGGGAGGCCCTCGGTTTGTCAGGGTTTGGGGGTTTCAAGGCGTTCTGCCTCTCAGGGCTTGCCAACCCGCAGAACTTCGTCCCGAAACACCTTCAGCCTTACAGTAAAGGCTTTAATGCCCTGAGCAACTTCTAACAGACACAAACCACGACTGACAGCATCATGTTTCGAGCATTTCTTCATATTAAGGCCACGCCCAGTCTTTGCTTGTGCAGGCTCCCAGAGCACCAACACCCAACATTTCGCTTCCAACCCTAGGCTGGACCCCCAAATCACCCTAAACCCTAGACCCCAAATCCCGATGCTCCTTCGAAGTCCATCCCCTAAGCCTCCAAGGCTCGGCCGCGTCTTCCTTCCAATCCTTGGTTTAGGGTTTAGGGCTTTTGGGCTAAATCGTCCAGGCCCGAAGCCCTAGATCGTTAACCCCAGCCCTCAATCCGACAAAGCACTTCAAAGCTCCCGACAGATCTTCAAGACCCGCTCAAACCAGCCTATGGCAGCATCAACCTGGTCGCCTGAATAGTTACCGCGACTCTTCCTTGGGGCTCCTTTCCCAGAGATCCCAATACCCTTTAATTAAGGAATATACCTTAAATTATAGGGGCCTTAATATTATGGTTTACGGTATATTCCTTAATTAAGGGGTATTGGGCTCTCTTTTTATTGCAAGCATACTACACTATCTCCCCCCCAAACTCCTTTTATCAAGCAGGCGCTGCAGACCTGTAATCGAAGGGCCTGAAACATCACCTAAAGCACGAAAGGCCTTGGCTTTAGGGTATAAGGTTTAGGGGTTTAGGGTATAGGGTTCATGTAGGGTATAGGGTTTAGGGCTTAGGGTGTTTTAACGGCGTTTTTGGAGCCATGTTGTTTGTGTGATGGTTTAGTGTTACCCTGCCTGAATGGTCATGGGTAGTTGTAAGGTGTCACCGCAGGGGGAAAAGCCTGAAACTTTCATGTAAAGCCTCCGAAGCTCATGGAACCTACAGCCTTACCGTGAAAGCTTCCAGATTTTCTGTAGCCCCACAAAACCCTGAGCCCTAAGCCTCATAAATAGCTACGGTAAACCTTCCGATGACAATACTTGGAGGTTCATGGGTAGTTGTACGGTTATACGTGGGTTCTAAGTCCCCTAATATGGGTTATAACTATATAGTTAACATACCTATAACCCCACTTATAACTACCCATGAACCTCCGAGTAGGGCATGGTCTCCTCGTGGAGATGTCGAAGCGAGGGGCGGCCTACGGGAAGACCCCAGGCCGCTGGCTCCCCTATAGGATTTGGGGCTTTTAAGGGTTTATGGGTTTAGGGCCTAGTTTAGGGTTTAGGGGTTTAGGGTTTAGGGTATAGGGTTTAGGATTCAGGGGTTAGGAGGCTTTAGGGTTTTGAGGGTGGGACGCCCTTTCTGTAGAGTTTAGGGCCTATAAGCCTATAAGGTTCAGTGGTCAGGGCTTATATGGCTTAGGGTTTTGGGAGTAGGGTCTGGGCCTTGGTGGCCGTCGTAGTAGGGTGTAAGATTTAAGGTTTAGGGATCAAGGTTTGTGTTTTTCGGGCTGTTTCTTAGCGATGTGGTCAGTTGGCATCGTCGCTGAAACCGCACATCTCAAAATTCTGGATCTAGAGTTCGGAGCTTGAGTGGTTTGTGTTTGGCTGGGGTACGCAGCTTCGGGCTCGGAGGATTGATCTTTGAATTAAGGCTAGTCCAGGTTCAAACTTCGAGAGGTTTGTGTCGCTCAAACGGGCTTCGGCATTGGGGTTTCTGTGTCCGACGGTGTGTATAGCTGCGTGCTGGGGTGAAGGACTAGGGTTTGGGGACCACAGGGCTGAGTTGTTTGGACTGAAGGGTTGGGTGTTTAGGGAGTTTAGGGATGTCTCTTTTCAGAACCGGTACGTAATCGGCAAGCTTCCAAGATTCGCATCGCATATCCATCGTCTTCTCAGTATTGTATCTGCATGTTTCTGCAGTTCGCAACTAAGCCCAAATCCCAAAACCCTAAACCGCAAACCCTAAACCCCAAACCCTAAACCCTAAACCTGCTTGTGCGAGTGTGTGAGTCGAAACCATATACTAAACCTCAAACCCTAAACCCTAAACCCCAAACCCTTCAACCTCAAAAAAACAGCCTCGCGGCAAGGAATTTACATGGGCAGCACCAAGAGCTGTGGCTCCGCATTGAGGCCTGAGGCTGACAGGTCACGGCTCGTTCCAAAAAAAAGGGTTTTAAGAATTTTTCATGATGCGGGTTTCGGTGTTTGAGGCTTATAATGCTTAGGATTGGGGGCTGAGGGAGCTCCCCAGGCTTGGACTTTGTTAGTGCCGTTTTTAGAAGGTGTTTGAGCGCTAGAGCTTTGCTGAGAAGGGGTAGGGTTTAGGGTTTAGGGTATGTTGGGCAACTTCCATTTTGCTTTTGGTGAGTTTCGTGGCTCGCAGGACACTTTTTCGGCCAGCCCATGTAGCCAAAGTTGTGGCAATCGTCGTAGCACTGTAGTGGCAGTTGTGGCAGTCCTCCCGCTGCTGCTGCTGCTGCTGCTGCTGCTGCTGCTCCTCCTCCCGCTGCTGCTACGGCTACAGTATGTGTCGTGAGACCTGCGGAGTCTGGCGGAGTCTGCCGTGGGCCAAAACTGTGAACCCTTTTCTCTTAAAAAGTGTTGACACTTCCCGGAGGGAGCCTCATAAGCCTCGAACCCTTATGCTGTACATCTTGCAAGAATGCTGCTAGGTCTTCTCCTTGTTGCCAGAAAAGCCGCAACTCCCAACGCTGTTTCCATGTCGGCTTCTCCACCTGAAGCATGTTCAAGCTCGACTTTAGCCCGTTTCAAACCGCCCACTCTTGACTGAGAGCCATGCTTGTCACGCTTGCCTTTGCCGTCTGCTTCACGGCACCTTGGCCGCTTTTCGTGCCGTGGTCAGCTTCACGCGCTATCGAAATTGTTCCCGCAACTCCGACACCTTAAACCCTAATTCCTAAACAGCTTCCGAGGTGAGTGCTGCAACTTCGCAGGAGGGTGCTTGTGAATTTGTGGAGATCTCGCGCAGCGCGGGCCTTCTGCAGAGTGGCACCGTCCGTGATTCCGACCATGCCCAACCCAAGCTTCCCGGCTTCCCATCTTAGAAACAGGTTCTCACACCTTAGTGTGACTTGTGATGATGATTATTCTTGTTTATGTCATCATTAATATTGTGGTCTTGCTTCTCGCATTCTTCCAGTTATGGTGATGTGATTATTCTGACTGAGTGTTGTGGCTACTGGATTTATATTTTGGCTTCATGCCAGGTCCGGACTCCTAAAGGCTGTAGAAGTTGAGTAGCCGCGTCCCGAACTCCGGAGGGGGTGGGGGTGAAAGCTGGACGCGCAACCCTGTAAATAAACGCTCCTCTAAACCGCAACAAACTGCACAAGCTGTGGAGCTTGACTGGTCTTCTATTCTGTTCTATTCTGTCCTGTTCAGTTTCTATACTCGTCCATAATTTATACTAAATTATGTTCTAGTATATGATATCATACTGTATTATATTATACTGTATTATATATATATATGTTTATGTACTTATACATCTATCTATCCCTGGCGGCTTGCAAAGGAAGCGCTTCTCCGAGTTGTCCTTGGCTGACCAGAAGGAGGTCGAGAAGCTGATGCACGCCACCGAGGATGACACCAACTTCGAGGTGGCCCGGGGTTTTCTAAGATTTGCGGGGGTTCTTCTAAGGATGACACGGTTTTTTGGTTTAGGATTGGGTCATTGGGGAGAGCTGAAAAACCCTCGCAGCTGTTCAGGAATGCTGCCAAAAGATCAGCAAGTGGTGGTGCACGTGTACCCGTGCCAATGAAATCCCGGCAGATTGCGATCCGGCTTATGCTGCTGCTTGGATGCAGGTCTGTTGAACCATTTTTAGACAGCGATGTGGGCTGCAGCACAGTTCTCCACCAGGCTCCCTGAACAGATGAAGCATAAGTGCAGTCTCGCCCCAATGTCAACATTGCTTTCCAAGGAGTCCATTGCTGAATGCAAGACGAAGTACAGCTCATCGGAGGAGTGCAAGGCACCTCCCGGCTATCCAATCAGCTGAGTCGGGTGAGTCCAGCATTACAGCTGACCTCGAGCTGCTCCGATGTGAGGCTGCGGCAAGGAGTGAGACTGCGTGAAGAAAAGGTATCGGGGGGGCTGTCGCTTTTCTCTGAGAGTTCGCTGGCCTAGCCTGGCCGGAAGACTGCAAACCCCTAGACCAAAAACCTTCGAGGGCCGTAGCGCCTGAGAAAGGGTCGGTGGGTCGCCTAATCCGAGCATCTGAATAGTAGGGGGGGGGGCTCCCCCCCAAAAAAAAAGAATTGAAGGACCCGCATTAATGGGAAACCATCTCTTGGGTGTTTGGGGCTCTTTTGGACTCTATTAAAGAACCGGCGAGCAGCTCCAGGAGAAATGACAAGCAAGTCTGAAGCTTGGAACCCCTGAAACCTTAGCCCTCCAAGATAATTTTCCTTGAATGCCCCTAACTGCCCAGGTACCTACTATAAGCTAGCAATGACCATTTCCATTTTCTAACCATGCACCCCCCCCTAGCACCCAAATCATAACAACTTATACCTCAACCCTAACCTCACCAAAAGAACCATAGGAATACCCCTAGGATGGAACCACCAT